AATACAAATTAACACGCACGACCCTCCATAACGTATTACGAGTTAATGTGTGACCAAAAAAGAAAGAATCCAGGCGAAGTTTTAATCCTCATCAGATCAGTTTGATTCGTTTGGTAGATCCGTGACGTCATGGACCACCAACGGAGCATCCCTGAACGGAAGCGTTAAAGTCTCCGGTTAGAGAAAGGTAGAAAACGATATTGCAGGATTATATAATTTACTTTGAAAAATTAAAATCTCATCGGTCAATTTCATTAAAATTAATAATATTCAACATAAATATTCTTAAATGGAATAACGATGATAAAGGTAATTAATTAAATTAATTTAATATTTATCTTCGAAAGATAATCGTTATCAAGATTAACATCGTGGTAATCGCTTGACAGATATCGAAAAAAAAAAAAACTCGCGTGTAAAGAAGAACTTTCTCTCATTTCACTTCGGAGGGAAGAAATGAAAGAAAGAAAAAAAAAAAAGAAAAGAAAAGAAAAGAAAAGAAAATAAAAATAAAAAAAAAAAAGAAAAAAAACGAAAGAAGAAGGACGACGCCTCTATGCGTCATTCTTCCGGGACTCGTCCTTCTGGTCTTAGCACGTGCATCGAAAACTCCTCCGCATATCCTTTTCTTCCTTCTGGCGTAAATGTGTCGTAGGTGTGCACAAACGAGGGAGGAAAAGGAGAAGGTTGGAAGATGAAGAGGAAAAGAAGGAGGAGAAGGTGGAGGAGGAGGTGGAGAAGGAGGAGGAGGAGAAGGAGGAGGAGGAGGAGAAGGATGATCCATTCTGTAAGTTCTTCACAAGTTTTGCGTGGACGCGAACATACTCGCGAGAACGACGTCACGTGGCAGAACGCGTCCCACATACCTTTGTAGACGCATCCTCGTCGATCCCCGTGAAAGAAAAGAGAAAAAGAGAAATAGGTATATTCCAACGACGATCTACTCGTGCGTGTAAAATGGACGTGAACGAGCAAGCAAAAGCCGGGAGTGCGTGTTTCGGATCCGTGTGTCATTTTGAAATAGCGAGTGCATCTCCTCGGGGCGTGCGTGAGCGCACTTTTGTGAGCTCCATCGAAACGTTCTTTCTTCTCGTTCATTTTTCATTCTCTTATTTCCTTTTTCTTTTTCTTTTCTTTTCTTTTCTTTTCTTTTCTTTTCTCTTCCCTTTTTTTCTTCTTTTCTTCCTCTCGTAGATACTTATTCTTCATCTAAATTCTTCTCTATCGACGATTGTCGATTATCTTTTGTTCCTAAAAAATACAAATAATAACAAAATAATTAAAAAAAAAATAAATAAATAAATAAATCAAGCTCCTGGTATCTGAGTTCGAATTTCGTTTTGTTTTGTCATTCGTCGATGATAATTTAATTAATTGTTTTATCTTACTTACGATACAATAATACAGTGTTAACGATTTGTTGTTAAAATGATTGATGTTAAGAAGCTCTCACATTATTATATCAATCTCTCTCTTTCTCTCTCTCTCTCTCTCTCACTCTCACTCCCTCTCTCTTTCTGTCTCTCTCTCTCTTTTCTCGAAGAAAGCGAAGGCGGAGTCTAATCACCACGCGATCGCTACTCCCGATCCGGCGAGTAAGCCGGATTCGTTCCCAGAAAACAGAAAGCAATGCTGCTAGGGCCTCGAGCTATCGATGAGAACCAACTCAAAACCAACAATCTTCGTTCATCGGTTTCAAAAAAGAGAGAGAAAAAAAGGGAATCTACCTTTCTTCTTCTACTTTTACTTCTTTTTTCTTTTTCTTTCATTCCTTTTTCTCTTCCTCTTATTCTCTTTCAACGACGTTATTCTACATACATATATATATATATATATATATGTACATCTGTACAACATTTTTAATGACATAGACTGATCTATAAATCTTGTACCATGGCCGACTGTTGTGGCAATAAATCGTTAGAATTTTCCGTTACCGGCGCGAGAACAAATCTTTATCTGTCTGTCTGTCTGTCTGTCTGTCTGTCCGTCTTTCTTTCTTTCTTTCTTTTTTTCTTTCTTTTTCTTTATTTTTCCCAACCAAGTGAGTGAGTCAACTAACAACGGTGGCTAAGTAACCAGATTTTTCTGGATCAGACGAATTTCGTAACTCTCGACAGATTCGATTAGACGCAGTGTACGATTAACGTTGCAATACGGCAATAACTTCTTTATCGAAGGTAAGAGTACTTAGGTGCAGGAGATAGCTAAGCTAAATCGATGGACGGACGTTTCGTATAAACGAGAAAGAACGAGAGAGAGAGAGAGAGAGGGAGAGAGGGAGAGAAAGAGAAAGAGAGAGAGAGAGAGAGAGAGAGAGAGAGAGGAGCGGGAAGATAAAAAAGAATATATCTGAGGGAGCTACACGAGTGGGGTAGCGGCAGTGTAAATTGATACAGTCGAGATCGAGCGTGCATACGATATAGAGAGCACCTTTGCTGCTCGCCTCACTGCTTGCGTACACGCCCACGCTAGTGTCCCCGTACTAGTTTACAATGTGTATCATTTTGTGTTCCGTTTGTGTGAGTATATCGCATGTATATACATATTTATAAATATATATATATATATATATATACGAAATATATCTGTATATGTGTACGTACATATATACTTACGTATATACAGATGTATAATACGAAACGCGACAATGGAGTACAATCCGACATCTGAAAGCGATGGAAAAAGGAAGAGAAGACGTGAGGTTTCGATAAGATACACCCGTGTGAAACGACCGGCTTCCCTTAAGGATTTGCTCCTGAGATCGGCTTAATCGAATCGTGAGTTATTGCGAGGTAGGAGGATATACCGACGAGACTGTTGCACGACTATCTAAGAAAGATCGATGCAGCCACCAGCGAAGTGGAAGATAAAATGTTCAGATAAAAGGAGAAAAATTATATGTATATATATATATATATATATATATATATATATATATATATATGTGTATTTTTATGTATGAAGAAAAAAGGTAACGTGGTCGTTCTCTCGGGTTTTTTTTTCTTTTTCTTCTCCTTTTCTTTTCAACTAATCTCATTTTTTTTATTTAAATCATAATACGATACAATACATTTTTTTTCTCTTTTTTTTTTTTTTTTTTTTTTTTTTTTTTTTTTAACAATAATAGCACGACGTAGGAGAATTTGAAAGTTTATAATTGATAAAAGGGATGGAGTGGGATTGGGAACTCTCTAACATTTTCCTCCACTAGAATCGTCTAACGAGAGACGCGTGCTCGTTCGCGCGTGACCAACGTGCGAAAAACAGGCAGTGATCGTATCGAATCGCATCGAGTTCGTTTTGTGCCTATGCGATCAAGAATTAACACGCATTACTCGCATACGCGGTCAACCAATTAACGTTTGTTAATTACCAAGGCGGTCTCTTCCAGTCGGCCTTCCTTTCTCTATCTCTCTCTCTCTCTTTCTCTCTCTCTCTCTCTCTCTCTCTCTATCTATCTATCTTTCTTTTTCATGAGAGAGATAGGGTAAGGTAGGAAGTATCGTCGCGAGTCTCGCTTATCGACTCATCGTCGATTCAATCGAATGGTCGATTATTCGATCGACTGTAATCTCTCTCTCTCTCTCTCTCTCTCTCTCTCTCTCTCTTTACACATACACGCATACACACATATAAATCGAATTCCTACGTGTTGACGATTAGTAATAAGCTATGTCATTGTTTAGCTAGAAATCATTCGACATAAGTATGTGTGGCTTACAGTGGGGTCTCGATCTATCACTGAACATATTGAGGATTATCAGCGACACTTCAGTAAAACTTTTATCTTGAATACAAGTACATTATATTCTATACAAGTTTTATTGTATTTGAAAAAAATTTACGATATAATTTTTTGATCTTCCGTTTTACCTTTGTAAAAAGAAAAACAGAAAAAAAAGAAAAGAAATGTAAGACAAATTTGAAAGTGAAGAGGTAGGGATTGAGGGGCGGGGGCGGGGGCGGGGGGGGAAACGAGGGAAGATCTAAAGAGAGAAAGTAGACAGCCAAGAGAAGGACGTATGAGTTCTTCTTTCGCTTGGGGCATCTTTCATGGAGGATAACGAAGCAAAAGAATCGTTAAGGGAGCAAAGGGCTCCGACGAGATACCCTAAGGGGTAAGGCGACGCGAAATCGCGAGGGAAGTCGTAAGGCAAGACGTTTAATTGCGCAATAAATTGTGATTCTCCGATTTGCAACCCATTTCCTACTGCGGGGGCGACGATTGGTCGCTGTTAAATTGGCGCGTAGGTGCGATGGTAGGTACCTACGTGGTTGGTGTGTGCCTGCCAGTGTAGGCACGCACGCCGTGAAAGTCGGAAGTACCTCCCACCCTTCTCTCCTTCGTCTTCTTCTTCTTCTTCTTCTTCTTCTTCTTCTTTTTCTTCTTCTTTTACTTCTCCATCTCTTAGTCGTCTTTCCGTTTAGTTCAAAACGCCTTTTACATATCTACTTACGGATAACGTGTAGTTACTTCCTTTCTTTCTTCTTTTTCTTTTACGATATAGCCATTTCAATTGATATTATTAAAGAAGATATTTTTATTGATGAATTAAATAACGAAGAATAAGAAAAAAATTCTTTCCATCTTTGTCCTTCTTCGTCATAGTTGATTTATCTATGTGGATAATATCAGGTATATCCGGTATAATAATCGATCATGCACTTTCGAACGTTCGATATTTTGAAAATAAAAAAAAAAAAAAATTCTGACCGTTCGTACTTAAACGTGTCAAATGCTGACAGTCGACGTGTTAATCGTCGTCGTACGATCGATCAACGATCCGAGAAATTATGTAAATCGGCGTAACTTGTCAGCGAGTTCGATCGTATATCTCGAAGAACGAAATGGTAGGAAACTACTGTCAGGCATATGTACGTTTCTACGTAATAATTGGAGTGCGAAGGATCGTATAGGTGTAATATGACATTTAAAATCTACAGTATAACGTATATATGATAATTAGTCTTGACGTAGAAATCTCTTACGATTGCAGATTCGGTGGCACAGACGGCTACTCTGACGAGCCTCGCTTTCTTCCTGAGTTCCGGGCTGAGCGGGACGGTTTCCGGAGCACCGACCAGCTACGGTCTCCATACCGCCATCTCGGAATCCAACAATAATATGGAGCCTTGGCTGCAACCATGCGGTACGCCGGTTGCTGCAGCTCTGAAAAAAATGCCCCAACGTCATAGCGTTCATAGAGCGTTAAAAAGGGTACGAACCCAGCTTAGGGTCGCTCAAAATCACTTTAGGAAGGATCTTAAGGATATTCATGAGATCTATTCGAAGGTAAGTGTTAAAAGTCTAGATCTACGAATTACGTACGTGCTCTATCTAATTTAATTAATTAGAACGATTGGAATAATTTATTTCGACTAAGATCGTCCAATTAACTGTTACCTACTGACGAATACCACGGCTTATAATTAATCATCGAGAGAGCACGGGGTTAAGATCGCGTGGGCGGTCTCAAAGCTACGGCCGGGGAAGTCCGCACGTGCGGCACAATGCCGCAAAGTCCTACTTTCCGAGTGCAACGACGATTTACATTCGTTACGCGTGTCGCGTCGCGAAAAGCAGACTCGATTTTCTCGGTGACTCTCTTACGAGATCGTTTAGATGCAAAGTCTAATGAATGGCACAGTCTGCCATAGGTATCGCGTACAAGCGTACTCGTTTCTCATACATATGAAATAAAATGCTCAACTCTCTCTTTTTCTTTCTCTTTCTCTCTAATGCCGAGAAATTTCTGATCTCCGTTAAAACCCGTAAGATAATCTAACGTAATAAAAGAAATAATGTTAAGTCACAAATATTTGTGAGATTAAACGTTCGTTTCTTTTCTTTTCTTTTCTTTTCTTTTTTTTTCTATTATCGCACGAATAAATTTTATCGATCGAAAGGTTTCCTTTCCTCGTACGAAAGAATTTCCTCGCGCGAGAACGAATCGAACATCGGAATTCGATATTTCTTTCGAATTTCTTTCGAGGTTGCAATTTTTCTTTTCTTTCTTTTTTTCGACTTCTTCTTCTTCCTCCTTTTTCTTTTTTTTCTTTTTTTTTTTTTTTTCTTTTTTTCTCTTCTTTTTTAGTCTCTCGTTACCCACTACCACTAATCGAATAAACGACGACGATCTTCCTCGAAACGATCGTCAAGACTAAACAGTCGGCATCTCGTCTTTCGTTCGCAGGTGTACAAAGTGCTGAAGGAGCAGTACAGAATGAACTGGCTTCCGGAGAAGCAGCTTGAGTGGTACCATAGGGAACTCTGGTGCCTCGAGAAGGGTAAGAAGGCGGAGCGTGCACTTCCACGTCTTCACGACGCCCTTCAAAGGTTCGCCATCACGTTCCACCATCTTAGAGCGTTCCGACTAAAGTCGAATATCAACGTCGATCTTACGATGAACAGGCGAAACGAGATTATCGATGCCATGCAAATCGAAATTCTTCGAGTAAGTAATACGAATATTTTTTCTTTTCTTTTCTTTCTTCCATCTCTCTCTATCTTTTTTTCTTTTTTTTCTTTTTTTCTTTTTTTTCTCTTCTTGTTCTATCCAAAACAACAAACATCTCTATTGGTCGATCATATTTCAATTAATTATATTCTAATAATATAATTTTGTTTCGATACTTAGATGCTTTGCGAAGTAGAAACAGCGATCCTGAATCTAGGACTGCAATTACCAACCGCTCACAAGGCGGTCATCGTCACGGAAAGTCGTAACTGGGCCAAGGAAGGTGATCTGACGCTGATGCTCATTCAAGATTGGGGCGTTTTAAGATTATATCAAACCTTTCTGAATGATTGGACGCGTGCCTTTCGTAATGCCACTGCGACTGGACCTGGTACCTGCGATCCTAACACGATAAAACCGCTTATCTTACGACCGAAGAACAACAAGAAGGGTCCAAAAACTGGAATGGGTACTAAAGGGAAGAGAATACCGAAGATCAAGAAAGAGCGAGTCAATAGGAAACATCCGTTGGGCTCGAATCAAACGCAACCTTTGACACGAGGACCAAAAGTATTCCCAAGGAAAAGACTGACGAGAAAGAAACAGGCGAGACCAGTGTAGTCAGCGAAAGTCCATGATCTCGAGTGATCTTACTCGTCCTTATCCAATTTTCTTTCACCTTCATTTTTATTTTTATGTCTATTTTTTTTTCTTTTTTTTTTTTTTCTTCAATATTTTTCTCCCCTTTTCAATTTTTAAACTATAGACTAATTAATCTTTCGATGTCGAACACTCGCAAAAAAGACGTTTATCCTTCCGCCAGAAGACACAAATATACACAAACGACACACACACATACACATACGCGCGCGCGTACTTACAAACGCACACGCACGGACACACACATTGACATCATTTGCATATGTTCTTCTATTTATTGCATCGCCACGATCATTAATTTTCTTTACGTTTTAAGCTTTAATGCTTCATTCACGATCGACAGAAAGAGATGACATTTAATATAGAAACTCAAATACGATCGAATTATTCAAAAGAAAATATTTTTCCTCTATTATTTTACATTATGATAAACTTACATACATACATACATACATACATACATACATACATACATACATACATACGTACATACATACATACCTACGTACATATATACGTTCGGCTGGCGGTCCAGCCGTAATTTTTACTAGGGGACCAGTATTAAGAGATTTACTTCGAAACAGTATTATATCTAATAACGCGTAATAACTAATAATAGCGGTTAATAATAACGTTGATGCACAGAGAGACTTATCGATCGACGCTATATGTAGTTGAAGGCGATTAGCTCGATCGATCGGAGAATATAGCGTCGAGGAGGCATGCACCTGAAAATCACGTAGCCATACGTACTTTTCTTCTTCTTTCCTTTTTTTTCTTCTTCTTCTTTTCTTATTTTATTTTTCTTTTTTTTTTTCTTTTTTTTTTTTTGGTTTGGTTTGTTTCTCTACAAATAATCACGAGAGAGCGCACACGTTTAGGAACACTCGTTGAAACGCGGGAGACTGAGGAGGGATGCGTTTTAAGAAGATAAGAAGATGAAGAGAGAAAAAAAAGGAGGAAGAAGGAGAAGAAAAGGAAGAGGAAGAAGAAGAAGAAGAAGAAGAAGAAGAAGAAAAATAAAAGGAAAAATGTGTAAAACACAAAAAGAGACCAGTCGTCCGTAGTCTCTTTAAGATAAATCTTAAAAGTTCGTCAAAAAATCAAAACGCATCGTTCTCTCGCGTTAGATAAAGGACAAGTGAAAATAATCGCTCGATTATTATACCACGATTTATGAGAAAAAAAAAAAAGGAAGAAAGATAGAAAGAAAGAAAGAAAGAAAGAAAGAAAGAAAGAAAGAAAGAAAAAAAAAGAAAAAAAAAAAAACAAACAAACAAACTTTATTTATTGTAGCTTTAACGTCTGCGGGCGAAAGCTTGATGTTTAGCTGTGATATCCCGAGCGTACGCGGACCGTACAGAGTTCCTACGTTTTATACATAGGTGCATGTATATAAGTATCATCGTATATATATATATATATATATATATATATATATATATATATATATATATATATATTATATATATAGTCGAACGCGTACCATACGTACTTAAAACCGTTAGACTATTTTCCTCTTTATCTATCTTTTTCTACTATTTTCTCGTCTTCACAATAGAATCTCTTTCTTCTCCGCGAACATGACAACTTTATCTCTTTCTCGTGTACTTTATATCTCTCTATCTTTCTCTCTATCTCTCTCTCTCTCTCTCTTTCTCTCTATTTGTCTGTCTACTTCCCCTTCTCTCTCTTTCTCTCTCTCTCTCTCTCTCTCTCTCTCTCTCTTTCTCTCTTTTTCTTGTATTTTTAAAATAATAATCTTTGTAGTAGGTGATAAATAGTATTCTCGAGTCGAAATTTTTATTTCTCGAGAAAAAGCAGAACTTCTCAGCGGAGAATTCTGCGGAGCTTTTTGTATACGTATCTACCCTTTTACCTGGACGCCGATGTGAATAATATGACACTCGGTATATTTTTAATTTCTACTTTATCTCAATCTCTCTCTTTCTCTCTCTCTCTCTCTCTGTCTCTCCCTTTCTTCCTCTCTCTTTCTTTCTCACTCACTCTCTCTCTCTCTCTCTCTCTCTCTCTCTCTCTCTCTCTCTCTCTCTCTCTCTCTCTCTCTCTCTCTCTATCTCGCTTTCTTCGTCTTTCATTTTATCTATTTTTCTTTGTATTTGTAACTTGTAGTAGCGTGTAAAGGCAAGTTTTAGGATCGAGTAAAACAGCGCACACGCCGCTCAACAATTTTAGAAAGTATTTTTCGTATTAATAAATAAATAAATAGAAAAAAAAAAAAAAATAAAAAAAAAACAAATAAAAAAAAATAAAAAAAAACAAAATAAAAAAAGCAAAAAAAAAAAAAAAAAAAAGAAACGACAATGACGAAAGTGCGATCTGCATAAGTATTTTGCGAATTTTCACGCTCGCCGTCATATATTAATTTTTCTGTCTCTTTTTTCTTTTTCTTTCTCTTAGTTATTATTTTTCTCCATTGCATTATATCGAGTATACGTATTATATATGTATATATATATATATATATATATATATATGTATATGTATATATATATATATTTATTCGACGTACAAGCATACTTACATAACGTTTCTAATCTATTTATTATATCACGTTACCATCGCATATATTATTTATTTGTCATTTTTTTTCCTTTTAATTGCGTATAATCGTCTCGAATAAATTCGATGTTTTTGTACCGTAGTACGGCTCAAATGTAATTTTTTTTTCCTTCCTCCCTTGCCTCTCAACCGCAATCCTCCCTCCTCCCTGGCCACCACCATTCGTTAACCTTCTTTTCGTTTTTTTTTTTTTTTTCTTTTAAGCGTTTCGATGATGCTGCAATTCGATTTCGATTTTAATCGAAAGTACGCGGAAAGCATGAATCGCGTTGCTTGCGACTCGTACGTTATCAACAACGAATGTCTGGCCAAAACATGTAAGTTTAATCCGCGTTGTCGGCGTCGCATGGCCGAGATGTCGCAATAAGGTCGCGTAAGGCGTTCGCGCGTGAAAATAATGCGTCAAGTCTGGCAAGTATAATAATGGAATGTATATACATATTTGGCCGATATGCATTAAGTACGAAATGTTCTTTTCTTTTTTTTTTCTTTTCTTTTTTCTTTTTTCTTCTTCTTATTGAAATAATTTCTACTATTCCCCCGTTACTTACGATAAGAAGAGTATAAGCATCTCATGATACTTAAGTTTAGGCATAACGTCAAATTAAAAGTTAATGAGCACTTTTGTGGATTTTGTCATTCAATTGTCAACTTGGTATCTGTTATTTTCGATCGTACCGAAAATGACTATCGATTCGAAAACCGTTTACAAGAATACCGAAATAGTAATAGGAGTGCATGTTGTTAAAAGAAGTAATCATTAATATTACTACGATGTCTGATACCTTGATTACAGTAACAACATTTTTGCAAGAATCACGTTTTACAAAAACAATTTGATAATTTATACGTCAAGGCGTAGAAAATATTTTGTCCGACAAACATTGCAAAACTTTTTTAATCCATTCCCCTTTTTCTTTCTTTCTTTTT